TCAGTGGCGCAGGCGGCGGGAAGACACCGTGGACGGGGAGCCAGCGGAGCTGCCCTGCAGCAGGGAGTAGTCCTGGGGGCAGGGGTCCTCCCTCATTCTCCTCCTCCCTCCTCCTCCTCCTTCCTCCTCCTCCTTGGTCCTCTGCCTCCTAAGTACCAGCTCCCCCTCTTCCTCGTCGTCCTCCTCCTCCCACTCCTCCTGCCCCCTCCTCCTCCTCCTTCTCCTCCTCCTCGTTCTCCTCCTCCTCCTCCTCCTCCTTCCTCATTCCTTCTGCCATCTCTTTCCCCTCCTCGTCCCCTGAAGCTGGCTGGAAGTCGTCCCCTTTAATTTCGCCCAGTTGGATATATCTCGGTAGCGCCCGTTCTCACAACTCGTGAGCTTCTTGGGAATAGCAGACGACACAAATTCGGCCCTACCCAAAATCAGAATTCCCATGTGATGTGCTTTCCCACGGCCTGGGCCTGCCCTCAGGCCAGAATTCGGAAGGGTCTCAGTCGTGGCGACGGGGGCTCCCGCGGAAGCTCCGAAAAAGGCAGAGCAGGTCCACATCTTGCCCATGTTCCTGCCCTCTCCCTCCTCACACATCCTTCCCTGGTCCCCTATCCGAGATCCACCGGCCCGAGCCAAAACGCGTTCGAAGATACTTTGATTCGACCGGCGGTTCTGCTCCCGTTCGGTCCGCGCCGGAGAGGATGGCCTTGGCCGCCTTGAGGTTGTCGACCTCCTGCGCTCGGGCCTCCCTGCGGACGTCGAAGAATCCGACACCGCGCTCTGCAGCGGCACGCGCGCTTGTCAGGCCCCGCACGATTTCAGACAGCACGCGGCCCCTCTCCAGGGGTACGAGCTGAGGCCCTCCTTCTCGAGGAAATGCTCTCAGGAAGCTGGGGGCACATCATGGCAATCTGGCTGGATGCACGTGCGGAGCACGAGGAGGTCATTTGATTGATGCACATCCGGGGAGCCGCCGTGCCCGTCCCCTCGGAGTCCGACCGTTGGAAACGAGGGATGCAAAAAGCGACCCTGCCCTGGGTCACAAGTACGTGGTCTGTAAGGCTCCTGGGAACGCCCAAAGCCTAGAGAGCCGCCAGGACGCCGCACATCACGCAGAGTTTACACTGTTAGCCCACAGGAGGTTCAGCGCACAGCGCCTCGTAAACCAGGTCAGGGGCGTGCGTTTTTTTGCGCCCTTGAGGAAAGATATGCCGCCCCCAAATATGTTACTCTGGCCTGGGCCAGCCGCAGCACTTAAATCATGCGGATCAGCTTTCTGGTGTCAGAGACATGCGGTTGTGGCAACACGTGTCGGCATTTGTTTCGTCTACTGCGAGTGTGTGCCCCCCCCGAACACATCGAAATGTCCAGTAGGATCTTCTCTTAGTGCAGGCACCCCACCGTGTGGAGGCTACCTGCCGATGGCGAAGTCGCGGCCAGAACCAAGTTCGGGGGTTGCTAAAGGCGCCCTTGGCCCAAGGTGTCCCCAACTTTTCGCTCGATCTGGGAGCCCCAGGGCCCCCTGGGCCTCGTGAGGGCCGCTCTGGAGGCCGTGGGGGCCTCCTTGGCAAATCCTGGGGGTGCCCTGGTCCGGAGGAACTTCTAGCAACACCCGACACGTCGAGCAGCTCCTCGGAGCGACTCGCGCCCAACAACCTTCTCACTGGCATCAGGTCGGGCATGTCTTCCCTACAGGCGGATTTTGAACGACAAATGAAACTTAGTCAAAGCATTCTCAACAAAAAACAACAATAGTCCAACAATCGTCCCCATACTTTTATGACAATTGTTGAATCTTCCTCCTAGGGACAGGCACGCCGTAACACTGGCAAGGACTGGGACTGCTCCTTGTGCGCAGGCCCGGGCCCTCCAGGGGGCACGAAACAACAGAGCACTTATACCGCGCTACTCAGAGGGGGCCCAGGGACACACAAACCAATAGACACACATCCCAGGATGTCCCCCATCTTCTCCCATATCTTCTGGGTGTTCGTCTTCCCCCTCGCTTCCCATAGCTGCCCATCTCTTCCTGGGAGTCGGCGATTCCTTGTGCTGCGTGTTTTCTCCCCTCCTGCTGCTCATCGGACCTCTTCCGGGGCGCGTGCTCACCAGGCCCTCTGAGCTGGGCCCAGCCGAGGCGACGAAGCCCCCCCCCCGAGGACCGAAAGAGCGCAGACGAGGGAAGAGCCGCGGCATCGGCACTCACGCGGGGCGCTCCAGAAAGGGCCTCGCCGTCGAGGGTCGCAGGAGCTGCCAGCTCTTTGAAGGGGCCCTGGGACACACAAATAAATAGACACAAACAACAGGATCCCCCATACTTTCCTAGATTTTCTGGGTTTTTGTCTTCCCCCCATTCCCCATATTTTCAAATATTTTTGGAGAATCGACGATTAATGGTGTCTGCGTGTGTTTTCTACCTCCTGACTCTTGCTCCGCAGACGGCGGCGGAAGGCCTGCGAAAGCCGGCGGAGGTAAGAAACGAGACCGCCTCCGCCGGCGAAGGCAGGCGGAAGCAAGCGATGCGCCGCCCCCGAGAGATGACATCTTTTGGGTTCAGGGTTTCCAGAACCCGACGCGTAGTTTTTCCTCTGAGCCTTGCCGAGTGAGAGGGCTCCCAGAGGGGGTCCGAGTAGATGGGGTCGGAGCGCCGATGCATCGGCGATGCAGCTCGATGTGGAGCCCAATGTTCTTCACGCCGACGTCGCAGATGCATCGCCGACTTCGGCGATGCGACGCGATCCTCCGACCCCATCTACTTCAAGGGGCCCAAGGACACACAAATCAATACACACAAATAAAATTATTCCCCATATTTTTCAATATTTTCTGGGTTTTTGTCTTCCCACCAAATTCCCATATTTTCCAATATTTTCCTGGGAGTCGACGATTAATTGTGTCTGTGTGTTTTTTCCCTCCTGACTACTCGGACCCCATCTGGGAGACCTAGACAAGTCCCAGCGGCCCAGGCGCGCGGCCGGGCGGAGCCCGTCCGAGCCAGCAGCGGCCGACCGAAAGACGACGCCGCACCTGAGCGGTCGGCCGGGCGGGGCTGAGGACGCGGCCGGCCCGCCCGGCGACTTCTGGGCAAGACCAGGACGAGCCTGGGGCCCTCGAGGGATCTCCCGGAAAGCTCTCCACTGGGTTCCTGGAATGCTGCCCTTGGCCGACCGCTGTGGGGGCCCGACGCAGCCAGCCCAGCGACATCTGGGCAGGACCAGAAAAAGCCCGAGGCCCTCGAACATCCCACAGGAAGCTCTCTGGCCTGGGGTGCTGACCTAGAGCGTTTTGGTGCTGTTCCCTGGGTTGACCACGCTGAAGGGTCCAAGCTGACCTCGGTACGCCTCCAGGCGACCATCGAGCCGCCCCAGACGGCTTTCCACTGGTCAAGGCGGCGCCTGGGTGCGTCAATACAACTTTCGACCAAACGGCCCCTAAGATGCCCTAACACGGCATGCCACAAGACACCGCAGGCCCCAAAGAGTCCCCAAAGAGATGAATCCTGAAACTGACAAGCCCACATGCTACCAGACCAATCATGCGGCGGCGTCGAGCATCCCGGTTACATCCCCAAGCGCGGTGGCGGAGATGCGCATCAGCGCAACTGGATTGGACTAGCCAATCGCATTCCGAGTGCAAATTCATCTCGTACTGCTTGGTGATCATCAGGTCCTTCTGTGCAGTCTTGAGAACGCCAGTATACACCTGCATGGACTCCTCCTTGAGAGCCTTCTCCCGCGTCTTTTCCCCCACGGCTTTCATGTCCGCGGCCCTCTTGCTGGCGGAGTCGCTCATCATCTGTTCGTACTCCTTCTGGGAATTCTTTTCCTCTACCTCGGCCTCCGTGATCTCCTTGTCCAGGTCCTGGGCGGTCGAAGGTCGAACCACCTAATCCCTGTGCCCTCGGCGAGCCACCACCAACCATGCTCTACGGAGATAACTGCACGCAAGCGGGCACGACGCCTGAAAAGGGGGGAAAGAGGGAGAGAGGGGCAGGGGGGAAGGGTAGCGCCTAACAGCCGCCATGCGATGTACCCTCCGCCGAACCGCAAGACTCCGTAGGCAGGGCACGGGCACTCTGCCCCCGCTCCGCCTCCCGCATGCCGCCGCCCCACGATCGCTCGAGGCAAGGCAGGTGGGGGAAGGCAACCGCCGTTGTTGTCGTCATCGTTGCCGCCGCCGTCGTCGGCGTCGCTACCGTCACCGTCGCCTCCGTCGGCTGGCGCCGTCTTCGTTGCCGTCGTCACCGTCTCATTTGCATGGAATTCCTTGACCAGCAGGTCGATCATCTGGATCACGCCGGTCGACTCTTGCCCAGACTTGGAGTAGGCGCCCCACGTCTCAGGTGGCGGCTCTGGGGTGTCGTGCTGGGACACCTGCACCAGCGACACGGGGCCGTCAAGCTGCACCGCGGCGGCGCCGCCCATGTTCTGCGCAATGCGCGCCTGCTGGCTGAGCTCCTCCTTGGCCGGCGGCTTGTACAGCTTTGGATTGTCCGCAGGGCCCCCCGCCTTTGGCGAGCGGGCGCATGATTCAGGCCACCCGCACGCGGACTCGCCCATTCGCCCGTCCGCTCGTTCGCTCATTTGTTCGCTCGTCCCACAGCACATCCACATGTCCATCGCTCCCTCCACGCACATATTCATCATCAATACCGCACAAACTCATTCATGAGATGTGCGTGGGCGAACGCACTTGCGAATCTGTCAAACAATTCGCCCGAATCTTTCAGATAATCGCGAATATAGTTTAGGAACGGTGGTGGCCAATACCACCCGACATGGCGCCAGCGTGGTGACGTTGGCGGTTAGAGGACAAAGGAGAAGGGGAGGGGAAGGGAGTAAAGCGCGGGGAGGAACGGCGCAAGAGGGAGGGGGATTGCACAGGCAGCAGGAGGGATGGGTGTGAGGGAAGGAGGGGGAAGGACCGCGCAGACTTATCTCTTTTGGAGCAACGCGTTCCAAACATGATTTGGGAACGCCGAGAAGGCTATGAGAAACTATCATGTGGGCGCCTCCGATATGGCGGCCTGTATGGGACCTTATTGAGGCCAGCTCGGATCCCTTCTAATGCCACCCCAAGCGGCATCGTTGAGACGCCTAGAGGGTCACAAGAAGCCTCCTCATATGACCCCGAGAGGGGCCCAACGATATCACACCGAATGTTGATTGGTATGATATCTTTGGGGTGGATTTTCGGGGCCTCCTGGGGCCTCAGTATCCACCCCTGACCATTTCGCAAGATAGGTCCATCCAATTCTTTCGTGTCGCAGGGTCGCACGACCTCTGGCCGCCTCATGCGCGAACGCCGATTGGCACGAACGGGCACAAGTACAACTCGCCATGCTTTCGCGACGCCGCCACCTGCACCGACGGTTGAACGAAATCCAGAGCAATGCACAACCTGGCAACGGGACATTCGCACAGCTGGCCGCCCAGCGAACAAACAACCTCATGTCGCTTCACTTGTCGATGCCGTGCTCTCTTAACCACACTCACCGAAGCTGACACATGCGCGGCGCGCGGGCAGGGCGACGGCGGGGCGTGCGCGCGCGCGCAGAACGAACACCGCAACGCGAATCTCCAAAGAGCCAGGGGCGCGCACCAGCGCGCCTCGCGCGGCGGCGAACACCGCGCGGGAACTGACCGAGTTAGATGATCGCTTGCGACATGGCGTCGCAATAGGCCCCGCTACCACGTAGCGCGTCGCGCCCTGCAGAAGAGCGCCACGGCACCACGGCAACCGCCCGTTACACTCTGGGCAGGGAAAGGGCGTGACGAAATAGGGACAGCAGCAACCAATGGGTGTCAGGGGGGAACAGCGGCAGGAACTGGTCGATGAAGAACGAAAAAGGTGACGATAGGAGGACGGGAGGAAGACGAATGGGGAAGTGGAGGAGGAGCGAATCGACGTGGAAGGGCGGAGGAGGGAGGAGAGAGAAGGCACGGGGGGATGACGAGGGAGGATAAACGAGGGAGGATGGGAGAGCGAGGGACGAGGAGGGAGGAGGAGGGAGGAGGGGCGACGAAGGGAAGGGGAGGAACAAGGTTGAGACGAGCAGGGGGGAGAAGAACCCTTGACCCGTGTATCATGCCAGGGAGGCACACGTGCACGTGGGCAATCCGGCGCACCCACACTTGCTGCCGTTCGCACGCGTGCGCAAGCACGCGCGCAAATGCACACGTTCACGTACTACACCCACAGGTATTTCTGCACTTTTAACCAGCGGCGCAGAGTTTCCTCAAGCGCGAACAGCAGATGAAGGTGCCAATTGCGATCGAGCATCGTCAACATCGCAATAGAAGAAACGTCAACCACGGATGTGCAGAGACGGGTGGCGGCTAGGAGGGACTGTACCCCAGCGAGCGTGCAAAGTATTTCTGCGCACGCGCATGAAAGAGGGGCGCACCCGACACGTGCAGCCACGAGCATCATCAAAGCGACGACGGAGCACAACTGCAAGTGCACCCGAGGGCCTGTCCCCACAGCAACAGCACTGCCCAGATTCCGATTTTCCTGGCCAGTGCCCGCGCAGCCGCCAGGCCAGCCTTGGCACGTGCAGGCCGGCGTGCGCGCACAACTCTGCAGAAGGCGGGGCCTGCAGCGAGCCATACGTCAAAGGCGTATGGAAACCGACACTCGTGCGCACAGGGCGTGCACATTCAGCAGGCGAAGAACGGTATGGCATAAACGTTTCCGCCGTCGGGGACGCCTGCCCCCCCTTGGCGGCTGGAAAGTGCGTCCCCGACGGCGGCAGTGTTTATTGTGAATGCCGTTCTACGCCCGATGGCACATGGCATAAGAAGTACCTTCGCGATTCGCCGGCCTCACGGGCCAAAGGCGTGACAGACTCTCCACTGAGAGGTTCGGAGTATTTGTGAGGTTTGGAGTATTTGTGACCTACTGCTACCAGGCGCGTGTGCGAGGCGGAGGAAAACTCTCGTCGGACCTGGGCCAGAATTACATCCCTCAACAGCATAAGACCCTCCGCTGGCCAAAACACAGAGAGAACATCCTAGGGTGCCCTCCCCAAGATGCACATTGCAGTGTTCCACACGAGTTGGTATATGCACCCCGTCTGGTGGCCGTCCACCGTATGTGGCAATCAATGCTCAAGCCTTTTTGCCCGCGAGCCCAGCCCGCGGGACTCCTTCATAGTGTGGTGCATGGTGGTTGGGCAGCTGGCGCAGGCGGCCATCCTCGGGGCGGCCAACCTCGGCGGCGCCTGTTTGGGGCGCTGCCCAACCTGCCCGCCGCCCGCGGCCTGCCCGCCGCCGCCGGCGTGCCCTGCGCCGACCCTCAACTGCCCGCAGGTGACGCTCACCTGCGATTCGCCGCAGCCGCTGAGCTGCCCGCATGTGACCTGCTCGTCCCCCTCGTGCCCGCCTTGCGAGGCGACGGTGTGCGAGGAGGCCCCGCCGTGCCCCTCGCCGGCCCGCGAGAGCGTGGGCGAGCCGAGCGCCTGGAGTGCGTGCCTGCCGATCTGGGTCGCGGTGCTCCTGGCGGCTGTCTGCTGGTGCAGCGGGGCCGTTTGCTCGCTGTGCGTGGGCCGGTCTGCGGGCGCCGTCCTCAACATGCTGGCCGCGGTGTCATTGTCATTGTCCGACATGGTGCCGGGCGACGTGATCCTTAGGTCCTAGTCCAGTGCGCGGGGGACGCGCTTTGGCATGAGCGCGTGCTGTGCTGGCCGCTGGCGCCCCAGGCGCCAGGAGTAGTGGACTGGGTCGTTGCGACGCCCGACGGAGACCAGTACGTCGAGAGCGTGCAAGGCGGCCACCCCGACGACAGCCCCGTGGAGTGGATCCGCCCAGCAGCTGATGGTCGACTGCCACACGGTTTCGCCGACGCCGTCTACTCGTTCCCCGCCGGGCGAGTTGGACGACGGCCTCCTCGCGAAGTTGATCGCTCGAGCGGCCACTCAGGCCGTGGCGGCCGCCCAGGCCGACGGTGCGACGCCCGCCGACTGCCCGATCGTGAGCCGCATCCGAGGCCAGCGCGTCGCAGCTGAGGCCCTTCTGGGAGCGGCTTTCGTGCAGCCGAACGTTCGGCTCGGTGTTGCTGAGGGCGCTGGAGTATCTTCGGGATGCGCTGACGGTGCGATCGTTGGAGGGGCCAAGACGCCGCCTGCTGGTGTCTGGAGGGTGGCGGAGGTCAACAACGCCCTGGGCCTTGACTTCGGCCTCGAGGTGAAGCTGGTGACCGTGTCCGTGGGCGTCAAGGGTATTTATGCTCCGAACGGCAAGGACGCGGTGTTTGTGGAGTTTAGTGGCGAGGAGCCGTTGGACTTCACAGCGCGTCTTGCCCCGCGCGAGAAAGCCAAGGTCCCGAAGTTCCAACCTGACGTCCGCGCTCTTTCCGTGAAGTGCGGCCCCAGCGGGCGCATGCGAGACTAGAAGGATGTCGTTGACAATTGTGCGCAGGGGGAGTTTTAGAACTTCCCCGTGAGCGGGCTGCGTTGGTGTTTGTCGTTCCTTCGTTGGCGGCGCACGCCGCTAGATCGCCATCTGATGTTCCGCAGTACCTGCTCTTTGAAGCCCGAGCGGTGGGGCTTTGCGGAGCACGAGACCCTGCTCCGCATCATCGAGCTGGCGGGCCAGCGCGACCAGCTCGACATCAGCAACTTGGCGTGCATGGAGGCCTCATTGAGGCGCGTGCAGACCATCGGGTGGGCGTGCCACGACAAGATCAGAGAGACGGACGCTGGTTCGAGCTCCCGCCTCTCGATCGAGGAGGCCACCGCCTTTTCCGGGCTCAGTCGGTCTGGAGACCTCCTGATGGTGGCACCCTCATATTTAGAGCGCGCGAAGGCGCAGGTGGAGAAGGACGCGGCAATCACGAACAAAAACATCAGGAAGGCGAAAGAGGAGCGCGAGCTGCGCCGCAATCAGAAAGACAAGCCGGGGTGAGAGGCCCCAGGGGGGAGGTCTCAGAGCAAGCCGACCTTCCTGCCCCGACCGATCCACACGGCTTGCACCGCGCCTTCCGTCTTGAGCCCCTAGCCGAATGTAAGTCGTAGAGTCGGCTACCGCGTCCAGAGGGTCATCGCCAGCGAGATGTTGTTCCTGTCCCTCATCTGTGTGGGAGAGACGCTGCGCCGCGAGTTCAGACGTCGTCTCCTTGCCGCCGAGTTCGACGGCGGGTTCTACGATGGCGCGCAGTCACTGGCCTGTCCGACCTCGCCATCTCCACACTTAACTGGTTGGCTGGCTGCGAGCAGGGGTCATCTGCTAGCGGATCCTGTCACGGTGGGGCCCCGCATGCGGCTGTGCAACGCCGTGCATATGCTGCCGCCGCGGCGATGGGCCCACCGCCTTCTCTCGCGCCCTCGGGGGGCCACCCGGAGCTCCACGGGTGCGCGGTGTACGAAGACACTCAGTCCACCGTGGTGCCGCACGACGAGTTGAAGGCCCCCCTGCCGGCTGCGGGCAACCGCCCAGCGCCGCTGGCAGATGTTTTTGGGGCCGGTGGAGAGATAGAAGTCGACGGTTTCATCGACGCTCATCTTCTCAAACAAGGAGCAGCTATCCTCAACCTCCAGAGCGCCCCTCGGGAAACTTACATGGACGAGGTGCTGCGCAACTCTCCGCATGAGTACCAGCGGCTGATCTAGAGGCTGAGAGGGCCGCGATGTTCTCTTTTTCTTCGCGAGGAAGAAGCAGGGCACTCAGCGCTTGGTGATCGACTGCCGCCCCTCGAACTGCTGGTTCTCTCCCTCCGACCCGGTCGAGCTGAGCGCCGGGGCCGCCCTTGGCAACATCGAAAAGCCCGCAGGGGCTACCCTCTACGTAGGCCACGTAGACATCAAGGATGCCTTCTACCACTTCCTTCGAGCTACCGCTGAAACTGAGGAACTACTTTTCACTCCCAGCTGTTCCGGCCTGGATTGCTGAAGTCGCTGAAGTGGGTGGCGCGATAGTGAGCCCGGGCGCGCCTGTGCATCCCTGGCTTCGCGTGCTGCCCATGGGGCGGCCCCATGTTCGTGGTTCTGTCAGACTTTACATCGCCGCATCATCCAGAACATCCCCGGCCTCGACGAGGCTTCGTTCCTTCATGACCGTGGGGCCCCGCCTGCGACCACCCCGGCGTGCCGTGCAGTATATGTTGATAACTTTCTTACGCTGGGCACGCGCCGCTCAACGGTCGGGCGACTCGTGCGACAGGTCGATGAAGCGCTTCGGTCTCGAGGTCTGCCCACGCATGAAAGTGCAACATGTTCTCGTGAGGAGGAGGAGGTGCTTGGAAGGTAGATCAACGGTCGGCAGGGCTTCATCAGACCTCGGCCCGAGCGAGCTTGGCGCATTCGACTGGCGATCGACGGTCTGCTCGAACACTGGGAAGTGTCTGCTCGGGACGTCGAGAGAGTCGTCGGGCACTGCACCTTCCTCTCCCTCATCTGTCGCCCGCCCCTCTCCATCTTCCGGCCCGTCTACACCTTCATTACCAGACATTGTGATCGCGGGGTCGTCGCACTTTGGGACTCTGTCCGCTGGGAGCTCGAAGCCTTCAGGAACATTATACCTCTAATCCGTCGTGACTTTGGGGCGTCGTGGAGTTTGAAAGTTGTTGCCTCGGATGCGTCTTCCCGGGGCTGCGGCGTCGTCTCTCGCCAGCTTCCTCGTGAAACCGTTCGACGGCTAGGGCGTGCCAGCGAGCGTTGGATATTCTCGTGCAGAACCCAGACTAGGTCTCGCGAAGGTGTTCTTGGGCCTCAAGGGAACTCCGACGACATCGACTGGGTGAAGAAGGTGGAAGAGGTCAAGCAGGAGAGGGAGGACACTCGATCAGACCTTTCGTCCGTCTTGAAGGAACGGGGTTGGGCGGTGATCATAAGCAAGAGGTGGCGCATTCCAATGGGCAGCATAGTTCATGGCGAGGCTCGGGGTCTTACTGCTGCGGTGAAACACAGATGCCGCTCCATGAAAAAATTCGGATCGCGACATCTTCTCATGCCCGATTCCCTTACCTGTGTTCTGGCTCTGTGCAAAAGGCGGTCGTCGGCCGTCGGGGTGCGCGCCGCCCTTCGGAGCGTGGCTGCGCATGGCCTTGCCACGAGCGCGGTGTTCACCAGCCGCTGGTTCCCCAGCGAATGGAACCACGCCGACGGCCCATCGCGAGGCCTGAGCCACGCTGGATGCGGAGGAGGCGACGCTGCCGCCAAGGAGGCCGCCCCCCGCCCGAGCGGCTGCGACGCAGCTCTCGCGCAGGCAGCCGTTGCTGGAGGCGGCCGCCCCCCCGCGCGGAGGCCTCGGCGCTGCCTCGGCGGCGACCGAGGCCGAGCTCGCCGAGCCCCCCCGCCCCGCCTCCGCGAGCGCGCGCAGCAGCTCGCGCGGGCTTGTTGCCGGCGCGGCGGGCGCTGGGCCGCGGCGCCAGTGCTGCGGGCGAGAGCTGCTGGCGGCGCAAGACGGCCCACAAGGCGCCCCTGGCCACGGGCGCGGAGCGCGACCAGTACCTGCAGGACCGCTTGGTGCGCGCCGCTGCGGTTCGGCGGCGACGCCTGGAGTTCCTCAGCGAGCTGGACCAGCGGCTGGAGCTCAACGGCCTCTCTGCCAGGCCGCGCCCGAGCGCCCCCCTGGATGCTGGCATGCTGGACCTCCTCGACCTCGGCGTGAGCGAGTGGGTGACCGAGTGGGTGACCGAGCAGTGCCTGAAGGGGGTCGACCACTGGCGAGGGGCGAACCCGATGGCAGCCTTGGCCTCGGCCGATCCTCGCCTGAGCAGTGGGGGGCGCCACTTGCTCCCCCAGGCGCGGCAGGCGTCGAAGGGGTGGCGCAACCTGGCCCCAGCAGCCAGTCGCTTGCCGCTCCCAGCCGAGGTGGTGTCCGCCATCGCAATGGAGCTGCTGGCGGTCAATTGCTGGGACATGGCAATGTGCGCGATGCTGTCGCTCGCGTTCCTCATGCGGCCAGGCGACTGGAAGACCGTCGGAGTGGAGCGCTGCCGCGGGAGGCAGCCGAGGGCCAGCGCACTGGAGCCTAGTCCTCCACCCTTTGGAGGACGAGGCCAGCCTGCCAAGCAAGACGGAGGAGTTCGACGAGTCGCTGTTGCTGGATCTTGCCGACGACCAATGGCCGGGGCCGCTGCGCGTGCGGCTCATCGAAGGCCGAGGGCCGCAGGAGCCGCTGTTCTCGTTCAGCAAGGCCGAGTTCGCGCGCCTCTTCAAGATGGCAGGCGCCCGGCTGTTGCTGCAACGGCCCCCGCCGCCGTGCGTCCTGAGGCACTCGGGCGCGAGCCGCGACTTCGCCGAGCAGCGGCGCTCCCTCGCGGGCGTGAATCGCCGCGGGCGCTGGCGAACGGACGCCAGCGCACGGAGGTACGAGAAGGGCGGTCGCCTGGGCACCGAGTTCGCCACGTTGAAGATGCGCCTCCAAGTCCACGCGCGATGGTGCCTCAAGTACCTCCTCGCGGCGCTTCACGGGTCGCTGCAGCCGCGCGGGTTCCGCGGCCTTTGAGACTGCGGGCGTTTCTGGAAGTGTTTGCTGGGGCGGCTCGGCTGGGGCGTGCTGTGGCTGCGCAAGGCTTCCATGTCTTGGCCTCGGACGTCCTGTGCAGTGATCAGTACGACCTGACCGATCCCTCCAAACGCTCACTAATTCGTGGATGGATACTCGGACGGGCCATACTAGCCATGCACTTCGGCGTCTCTTGCTCCTCCTGGTCTCGTGCGCGCGACATTCCGCCAGGACCTCCGCCGCTGCGATCGAACGATCCTGTGATGGGGCTGGAGGGGCTGTCGGAGAAAAATCAGTCACGTGTTGATGTTGGCAACTCTTTGATGTCGTTCACTGCCTCGTGCCTCCATGTGTGCAGAAGGATGAGGATCTCTGGGGCGATGGAGAACCCCGCCGCAAGCAGGATATGGTTTGCACCCGCTATTCTGTCTCTCGCTCGCAATTCACGTTCGCAAGTAATCTCGACCGATGTTTGCCAGTTCGGGACGCCGTGGAGGCGCGCGCGGAGTTTTTAGGCGTCCTGATCGATTTAACCTCGGTGGAGAAGCTCTGTAAACGTAAGAACAACCTGTGCTCGGCCTCCCAAAGGCCGCACCAAAACCTCCAGGATAAAAACTCGGAGGGGCGTTTTTGGACCTCAGTGGCTGAGCCCTACCCTCCTCGGCTTTGTCGTGCTGTGGCTGTCGCCTTCTCCGAAGCTCTCGTTTCGCTGAAAGCTCAGGGCATGCCTCGCCACATTTGGTGATTCAAGTTCGCTTTTTGTTTCATGCGGCAGAACACAAGTAGTCATGGCTCTCCTCTGTGAACATGGATCCGGTGACCGGCGCCTGTACCTCTCGTTCTGCGCGCATGCCTCTCACAGGTCCTGGCGGAAGAATGAGCCTTTCAGATAACAAAATTTCTCTGGCCTGAAGGGGCAGGATACATTGCAGCGTTCCAGACGAGTTTGTACATGCACCCCGTCTGGTGTCCGTCCACCGTATGTGGCAATCGATGCTCAAGCCTCTCACCCGCGTGCCACCCTGCTCTCCCTGTGCTGCTCCCTAATGATCTGGTGTCCGGCGCCTGTACCTCTCGTTCTGTGCGCATGCCTCCCACTGGTCCTGGCGGAAGAAAGAGCCTTCCAGATAAGCAATTTCTCTGGCCTGAACGGGGTAGGATACAATAGTATCCAACGAACACGAAAAACATCAGGGTGCCCCCCCTGAGCCGACCTCGCTCTTGTACCTCGGTCCGACGGTACCCCTGAGCTTCGAGAAAGCCCCGCAAGCGCCTCCGCAGGGCTCCAGGGCAGGGGCCCCAGGATGGCTCAGGAGCGTTCCAGGATGGCCCAACATGGCCTCAAGGGCGACCCAAGAGGCTTCCAAGACGGCCCAGTGATAACATCGTCGATGTGTGTGTGTGTGTGTGTGTATGTGTGTGTATGTGTGTGTTTGTGTGTTTGATTGAAATATTTCCGCATTCTCACTTTTCTGGGCTGCCGACAGCCGAAGACGGCTCAGCAGGCCCCCCAGTAGACTCCAAACCGATCCTTGAAGAGCCCCAGGAGAGGTCTCGAGGGGCAAGCCATGAGATCCTGGGAGGCCTCCAGCGTCCAGCGAGCCTATGACCCACGAACTAGGCAAGGTGGCAAGATGCACTGACGGAGCTTCGGTGTAGGCTTGCTCATCCGTTGAGTGTTGCCTTGCCAACTATTCTGCGATTGTCTCCGAGCGAGGTTTGCGCGACAGCTCAGGGAAACGACCGCCGCCCACTACCTTCCCAGCGCCCGCGAACACACAGTCAAGTGCCAGTGACGACACAGTGCTGACAGCATGGTCCGGCGGAATGAGCGAACCGATTGAACAACTACCCCTGCAAGCGATGTTCCCCAGAGCCCAAGAGACCCCCAAGAAGGCCCCAATAGGGCCCCGAGACGCCACGGCAGAGCCCAGAGAGGATTCCCAAACCCTCTCTGTCGCTGTCTTGCCCCCCCCATCCCACGAATTCCACGATCCAAACATGGTGGGGCAGCGGCGTCTGCCCCCTCAGGGGCGTCCAATTGAACAACTACCCCTGCGAGCGATGTTCCTTGGGTAAACACACTTTCGAATGGGATCGGAAAAACACATGGCTGTTTAGCAAGCCCGCATGACTGTTCATAGAAGGCCGATTATGGGAGTCGGGGTCGTTGCTGCTCCGATTACGGTGTTTCCACAGGTATATGTTTTGCGCATGGCCACAACTATCTTTGGCACGAAGTGACGCCGGTTAAACAAATTGTGGTCAATTGCTTGTGCGGACGTCCACGACGCTGGACACACTCATGGTCATCCTCGTACTGGCGCGCTGGGAGGAACGGCGTGTTTGAAGATCCGTGGAATCTTCCACAGAAGCGCTGGGCCAAAACGACAGGCAAAATGTTGATGGTTGGTGCAACTGCTGTCTGGGCGCAGCGGATCGCCGCAGGCAGTGAGGATAGAACTTGTTCAGGCGGTTCTTCGCGAAGTTGAGCAACTCCTTGGCAGCAGAGCCCCCCCGAATGACGAAGACGACGACGGCGGCGACGCCGACGAGGACGAGGACGACGATGAACTCCAGAGCGGCGGAGTTCGGTCCGACGTGGAGGATGAGGGCGATGAGGATGATGCGGGAGATATACTTGATATGAGGAGGAAAATGCTGCTGATAAGAAGGATGAAGAGAGGGGGGGCTGGGGAAAAAGGACGAGGAAAAAGAGGACGAGAGGACGAGAGGAGAAGGGGAGGAGGAGAATGAGTAATCAGGATGAAGGAGAAGGCAAGCGAGGGGGCGAAGTAGAAGAGAAAGAAAGGAGGGTAATGACGGGGAGGAGAAGGAGGAGGAGGAGGAAGCAGGATGAAAGAGGAGGGTGGTTGAATTTGGGAGGAGGATGCGGAGGAAGGGATGGGGAGGAAGGGATGATGAGGAGGAAGAGGAGGAGGAGGATGCGAAGGAGGAGAAGGAAGGGAGGAGGAGGACGGGAGGAGGAGGAAAGGAGGGGGAGGAGAAGGAGGAGTGCGGACGAGGACGACGAGAAGGGGAGCAGGGCAGCTGAAGCGGAGACGAATCCGGGGCGCAGAGCCTCATGACAACATCGAGGGGAGCCCGCCCAAGGGTGAAGTCCCTGCGCCCATGCGCGCCACGGTGAGGGCATCGGATAGGGAATCGTTGGGTAGGGAACCTGGCGTCTGGACGCCCTCAGAGATCCGACGCTCCAGCAAAAATTGGGGCGGCGGGATTTTGGTTATTTTCGGCCTCTGGGGGCCCTTGCTGGGCCTCGGGACTGTCAAGAACGACTCAGGACGAAAAACAGGCCCTAGGGAAGTGACCCAGACCTCTGGGGCCCGCGCACCAAAAAATTGGAGCGTCCGGATGTCTGGGCTGGTGGAACAGCAATTGAGGCTTGGCCATGGATGCCACCGCCGCCCTCATCAGACAAGGAACACTCAAGGGAAGCCTCCTCGGCCTTTTCCTTCAAGAGCGTCCCCACCGTGTGCGGCGGGATCGCAGGCTGCTTTCCCGCTGCCGCCACATCCCGCCAGCGAGCCCAGCAGCGTCCGCGACCGCACCGGAAGGGCCAGGGGCCGACTCGCCATCCTGCATGAAGAGGACCTCTGCGGTGTTCTCGTCTTCGGTGGAGCCTCCCATACCATCTTGTCGGCTCTTGCGAATCGACGTTAATCAACGCTAGTCGCCGCTAATCGACGCTGAATCGACGCCAATCGACGCTAGCCGACGCTGAATCGGCGCCATCTCATCGACTCCCAGACGCTCATCGACGCTAATCGACGCGAAAGACGGAATTGAGAGGGTATACGAGGCTCCCACGATTTACGACCACCTCGTCGATGGGGCCGATGCACACATCGAGGCCCAGCCTGGCGCCGCGGGCAATCCGAGCTCGCATGCCTGGGGCCGCGGGGAGGCCGACGGACAGCGAGCGCTGCGACGCTGCGCTCCGCCGCCGCCGCCACCCTCGAGGCGCTCCGAGCGGGGCGGCCTGCGCGGCCTGCGCCGCCCACGCCCGCGGGCAGAGCCCCGCCCACGGCGCTGGCGGGCACCGCCATGCCGTCGGCAGGCCCCGGCGCGGCCGTCGCCTCCGGAGCGCTGCGCGCTGCGACGGCTGCGCGCAACCGCCCTTCGAACCGCCCTCGGCTGCGAGCAGCAGCCGCACGCCCTCGCGGGAGTGGCCCGCGGCCGGGCCGCGCGCGGCCCTGCGCGGCCAGGAGCGCCCCCGCGTGAGGCCTCCATGGCACGGCGATGGCTCGTCCGTCGCCCGTGGCACCAGCGCGCCGCGGCAGCATGCGAGTGGAGTCAGCGGTGTGGCGAAAGCAACTCGATCTCCTCCTCCTCCTCCTCCTCCTCCTCCTCCTCCTCCTGGGGAGACGTAAGACTCGGGTTCGGGGGACTCGGGTTGGCTGGAAGGGGCAGCCAGGAAAACGACGAGACCTGGGCCGTCAAAACCTCAGGACGGGCCCGTCCAAAAGCGTCGGCAAACCCGAGCTCCGGCGAACTCGAGTCTTGTGGTTCTCCGCAGCCTGAGGAGGTGATGAGGAGGACAAGGAGGGGAGGAGGAGCATCGAGGAGAAGCGGGAAGCACAACAATGCCTCCAGGGTCCCACGGGTAGGGGTCCTACGGGTAGGCCCTAAGGTAGGCCCAGGGGTGGGCCCTCGGGGGGTAGGCCAAGAATTGGCCAGGCCCTGGGTGTAGGACAGGGGGGGGGGGTAGCTTCCGAGCCCCTCCCTTGCAAAGGACAGCCCTGGGCTGCCCCGGCACCAAAAATCAAAAGGGAGGGGGGGAAGAGTTTCCGACCCCCACCCCGGCAGTTTCCCAGTTAGCTGAGGGTGGTGGTGGTGGTGGTGGTGGTGGTGGTGGTGGTGGTGGTGGTGGTGGTAGCTTCGGACCCCCTCCCTGGTGAAAGGAGGGGGGGTAGCTTGAAACTGGGCCACCTCTTTTGTTCTTCGCGTCTCCCGCAGCGCGCTCTTTCACATGTATTGCACAACGTAATTAGGATGCACCCCCCACAGATTGCACAACACAAATTGCATCACATAGGTTGCATAGCATAGATTTCACAGCGTATATTGCGCAACGTAGATGAAACCACATAAATTGTACCACGCATGTTGCTCCACATCAACAGCACAACATCGAATGTACCCCGCAGTTCGCACCATATGCATACATACATATGTATGCATGTGCACATATATATATATATACATATATGTGTGTTTACGCATGCATACATACATACATACATACATACAGACAGACAGACAGACAGACAGACAGGCAGGCAGGCAGACAGACAGACAGACAGACAAACATACATGCATGCATACATACATACAAACACTCATACACACATATATATAGATATAGATATACCTATATATATTGCCCCACGCATAGTGGACAACATAGATGTCTAAAACCAAGTATTTGGGGTCCACGCTGGCGAACACAGAACTGCGAGGCATGGGAACGTTTCCATGCACCTCAACCGGGCGATGGCCGGTGGCAGCGCTGAGTATATCACCGGCCAGCATGAACTGGCCACCAAAAGGTTCCTGTGAACCGCGGATCTTCTTAAAACCTGAAAAACGGGAATCGAACGCGCCATTGCAAGGACATGCGCCAGGGGTGCATTAGCACCCCCCGTGCGCGGACACGAGACGGAAGACAACGACGATGACAACGACGACGAACGCGACGACAACGACGAGAGGCTCGCAATGGCGTTCCTGAAGGGACCCTGAGAGGGTCTTGAGAGCAAACTCCTGATCAAAGGTTCTTCAAAAAGGTACCCGAAAAGCTCCTGCGAAGCGCTCGAAAGGCTCCAGAGAGAGAGAGAGAGAGAGAACAAAAAAAAACAGAAGGAAGGAATACTACTAATAATAATAGTAGGAAGAAGAAAACAGCGAACGGCGACTGATAGGGTTGTAGGAAGGTGCGGAAAAGTGCCCAAGGGCTCCTGGTAGGCCCCTGGGGATACCATGAAAAACCATGCGGTGCCCCCGAACAGCTCCCGAAACTCCAACGAGAGGCCTCCGCAAAAGGGGCCCCCGTGGAGCTCCTGCGAGCCGCCCCGGGGGCTGGCAAGGAAGCTCCCGAGACCCCCACCGGATGCCCCTGCGGGGCACCTGCGAGGCTGCTGAGGAGCTCCTGGGGATCGCCTGGGAGGCTCGAGGGAAGCTCCGGAGGGCGCCCCGCGCGGCCGCATCCCACCCCCGACGTTCTGCCTCCGGCGGCCGCGCACCTCCTCCGAATGTTGCCCCTCGGCGACCCGAGTGTCGTTCCGAAGGGTGGCCATGGCCGCCCGGTTCGCCCTCCGAATCAAAAAACGCTACGCTGAAAGAAAACATATCAGAAGCTGATTCACCGCCGATTCGCTGCCGGCTCAGCCATGTCTCGCTGGCACCTCTGGGGGGAGTGTCTGGGCCGTCGGCCCCGCGGCCCGCGGGTCCAGGGCCCTCGAGTCAAGGTTCCACGACTTCCTGGGCTCTTCGGCCAGGGGCCCCCGACTCTGTGGACCTTCCTTCCCTCTAGGGCGCGCGACTTCCTGTGGCGCACTGTCGCGGCCCTGCTAAGCATGGTCCCCAAGACCAGGGGCCGACTCTGAGGTCCCACATCGAGTGGGGCGGGGCTTCCTGGGCCCCACAGCGAAGAGCCCACGACTCGCGGGCCGCATCAACATGGGCCGAGGCCCACAGGGCCGCACAGCCAAGGGCCCTGGAGCCGCGGACCCAAAGCTCCCGGGCCGGCGAATCGAGGGCTTATTGTTCTTGGGCCATCGGTCCAAAGGCCTCCCTGCAAGCTAATCCTGGCAACCTGCGCGGTTCCGACGGGAAGCGCACTCCGCGCGCGAAATTTTGGCCGATGACCTCTAGGATCGTCGGCACGACCATCGACGCGGCCCCGAGAGAAGCCCCCGCGCGCACCGCAGAGTCGCGCCAACATTGCTCTCGCAACCAAAGGGCCCAACTGAGTCGGGGCCAGGCCGAATGCCTCGGCATCAAAAAGAGCACTTCGGAAGGCGACGGGAAACGCGAGCCGCCACCGCAGAAAGAAAAAACTAAGTGACCCAGAACATACCACAATTCACCTCTGATTCGCATGGGGCCCAGTTCAGCCCGATGAGTGGTGATGATGCTGTGCCAGGGGCTGTGTTGTGTTGTGCTGCTCTGCGCTGCGTCGCGCCGCACAGTGACGTGCCAGTGGGCGCGCCATGGAAAGTGCCACAGACCGCACCTGACGCCACGACGACCGCACCAAACGCCGCAACTGCCTCCGCGACCGGGCCTTGCATGACGCGCTGGTAGCCGGCTACGTGGGCGCCGCGCTCGAGCGCCACGGCCTCCTGCCGCCTCGCGCCCCCGGCGAGGGCCCTCCCGGCGGCGAGGAGAACGGGAGCGACTTGGACGGCGACGGACGGCGCCCCGCGGACGTTTTTGTCCCGCGCTGGCGCAATGGCGTGTCCGCGGCCCTGGACTTC